ACTGCGGAGTGGTGGGGGGCGGCCCGAGGGGCTGGGAGAGGGTCCAGCCCACGGTGCGCCTGGGCTGGGACTGGTCCTGCCGGCGCAGGGTAGCAGGAAACTCTCCGCACATTCACCGGACCTGGGCTAGGACTTTTTGTGGGTTCTTTTACATTGCCTTCCATGACAATGGGAATGACTAGTTCAATGTTTAACTAATTCCACATTTGCAATAAAATATATTTCTTTTAATCATTACTTAAATTATTATATATAAAGTAAATAATAAATTATGGGAGAACTAATGCAGAGATAGATAAGGAAATTGGTTCTATTAGAGTAAACTCTAAATATGAGCAATCCCAGTGGCCTTGTTCATTAGTGAATCTTTAGAAGGTTGAAAATTATTCCATGGCCTTCAGTGGAGTGACATATATCACTATGCATGCTACCTCTGTCTTGGAATTGTTCATGGAGCAGATAAATACTAAGAGCGGAACAAAGACCCACATACAAGAGGTATTTTTACCATCTGTGGGCTCATATTACATAGGCTTATTATACTTCTTGTTCTAGGTTCACAGCTGCACATTTTAGGATAAGCATTATCACAGCTCATGCACATAGCAAAAAATCATATGTTCATTGTAATGGATGTCATTAAACATCACAAAGAAGACTTTCCTGTTCTCTGGACTCATCTCTTACTGTGGCTTCCACAGCAGAGCTGTCTATATAGCAGGAGCCCATGCACATAGGGCCTCCCTCTACTGATGAAAACCAGCCCTGCCCTGCCCTTTCATCTATGCAGAAGAACCCAGCCCTAGGGGTGCAGGTGTTCTCACTTCCTGATCAGGACTGAGCAGAGGATCACTGTGCAGCATGCACTGTTCTGGGTTCTTCTGGCTGCTGTTTTAAAAGGTGATTTGTGGGGAACAAGATCTACTGAGGGCAAGGGTGGACATGGAAGGGTAAATAGTGCTCCTGTGTGTATGTTTAAAGTCCAGTGTGAAGTGCAACTGGTGGAGTCAGAGGTAGGCTTGGTGAAGCATAGTGGGTCCCTGAGACCCACTTGCAGAGCCTCTTGATTTACCTTCACTAGCTCCTGGATGAGCTGGGCCTGCCAGCTTCCAGAAAAGGGGCTGGAGTGGTTTGGGTGGATTAGCAACAGTGGTGGCAACACTGACTACCCAGACTCTGTGAAGGGCCGATTCACCATATCCCGAGACAACAATGAACTGTACCTGCAAATGACAAAATTGAAAACTGATGACACAGCTGTGTATCACTGGTGGAGAGACACACTGAGGAGGTGTCAGCACTAGCTCAGACGCAAACCTCTCTGGGGATTCCTTAGGAATCAGCAGTGGGCGATGCAGATGCAGGACCAAGCGTAGATTTACCACATGTTAAAATTGTTTTGCTCTTAGGACTTGAGATTGCAACATAATGCTTTCTCCCAGATACACTAATTTCACGAGCCCAACCTTATTTCTGAGTTCTCATTAAACACACTTGTTTCAATAGGCAGTCACGTTCTCAGCTGTGCAATACTCATTTTAGCATTTGAGCTAGAAATGATTGTGCTGTGGTCATCTGGATCAGATTCTTTGGAGACAGTATGGCAGTAATTGTTATGACATGACAAGCAGTACATATTTAGAAGACCAGAATGACAGACATTCCAAGCCTGACCCTGCTCTTCCATGAAAGAAAATAGATTAATATTGTCTCCTGTTTCTTGTGGCAGGTTTCAGACTTGAGTGTGCCAGGTTTTATACAGGAAAAGTTGGAGATACTGTTTCTAATCTCACAACTCATTGTGCTATGTCCTAAATGTTGTGTCCTAGGTGCAGCTATAAGAGACGGGACCTGGCCTGACACTCAGCTGTGTATTTCCTGGTTACTGCACCAATAGAGATGGTTCTGGGAGCTGAGTCCATAAGCCTCTAGGGAATGGCGATCGAATGGACAGCGTATTGTGATTTTATTTTATTTATTTATTTTTTTAATGATCTCACTTGTATTAACTTTTGAAGGTTTACAGCAGTTAAAGTATTTTTGCTTCTATGAAGGTTAAAAAAATCATTTTTTTTCATAAAATACAAGAGCAACCAATTTCACCATCGAGTAAATGTAAAAACTGGGATTCTTTTTTAAATTAGTCCAAAGTGGCATTTAGGAACTTAGTTGTAGGCTGCTGTGCTGACACCATGACAAACCAAAGTGTAGGGCTGGGTCTG